ATTCATCTTCATAAAAAACAGTCAAAAACAAATCCAGACAACTACCGGCCCATCTCCCTTCTGATCATTGCTGAACAGCTCATGGAACACCTGGAAAACCACAATCTCATTTCCATCAGACAGTTTGGCTTTCTATCCTCCAAATTAACTGCTGACCTTCTTCTACTGCTGAGTAAAAAACACCGATGGCGGGCGAGCAAACCAACACCTCTTAACCTCCTACACATGACGACACGGGAAAACAGGAATAATAAAGATAAAAATATATAATATAGTATATATAACAAGGAACAAGCTAGTAAATAGGACTATGTTGTAATAAATAATAATGTTATTCACAAAAAAATAAAACAATATATTACACCAGATAATGTCTATATATACACACCTACACATATATGTACTGTACATACCTACATACATAAATACATACATACATATACAATTCATATACACACATACACAAATAAACATACATGTTTATACAGAAATATATATGTGTATATATATATAAATACATATATACATATATATTTATAAATATATATGTTTATATATAAACATACACACATACATATATGCTTACATTAACCTTGCATACATTAGCATATACACATACACATATTTATAAATGCATTACATAGACACATTTGTACACATACGTAAGCATTCATACAGATGCATAAATACACGATGTTATCTACCTGTACGTAAACATATTCAAACTACTTTTTACATTTGTCCTAAACATCAAAATTCACTGACATACGTAATAGATGGGTCTTCAACGAGTTTTTGAGTGACAGTAGTGATGGTGCATTGTGGACATGTGAGGGTAGGTTATTCCATACACTTACCCCATGATATAAAAAAATGTCTGTGATTGGTTTGAGCCTACGATTGGGTGCTTTAATAGTGAGTTTGATCATAGAGGATATCTTAAATAATTTCTGTACCGGAATAAGTTATTTTCGTGGATATTGATACATTTAAAAATGAAGAAAGCACAAAATTAGGTACGTATATCTCTCAGTTTCAATAGCTTCAGTGTAAAAATTGCACTTTTAGTATGGTCATATGTGCCTAATCCAGCAATTGTTCGGATTACTCATTTTTGGGCAGTTATTGGCAGTTTCCTAGACAGTGTTGCAGTATGTTAGATGTAGATAAATTTATGAAAAATAAATGCATTTACGGATATTCATAGTGAGAAAATACCGCGTATGATACCAGATACCACACTGCTTATTATTATTTTTGACGAATGTTGTTCGCATGCCTTTTCCACGTCAGTTTATTGTCGATCATTAGTCCAAGAAATTTAGTTTCGGTTTTCCTTGTCAAGGATTTATGTTCTAATAATACCGGCAAAAGTATAGGGGAAGTTTCTTATTACGATTAAATATAATATAATGGGATTTAACAATGTTTAGTGTCAGTTTCTTTCAAAAAATCTAATTACTGATAGTATTAAGTTCTCTATTGACATTACTAATGAGTTGATTAATATCGTTACATGAAGCATAGTTGACTGTCATCAGCATATAATATGAATTTCAGATACGAGAATGTTTTCACAAAATCATTGGTGTAGATCAGAAAAGGAAGAGGCCTAACAATAACCCTTGAGGTACACCATAAGATCATGGAAGGCAATCTGAATTGGATTCATTATGAGAACTGATTTCTGTTTGATAGATATGAATGAAACAAGCTGTTAGCAGAGCCCCTGACACCATAATGGGATAGTTTTGAGAGCAGAATTGAGAGATTAACCGTATCAAAAGTTTAAGATAAATCTAGACATACAGCAATAGTGAATTCGTTATTATCAAAGGCCTTGTAGATATGGTTTGTAAAAGACATAACAGCCATTTCTGTGGATTTATTCCCTGTAAATCCAAATTGGCAATCTGACAGAATACTGTTGCTCATGAGATAGTTTTCCAATCTGATATAAAAAAAGAAATTTCAGAATTTTACTATTACGGACAGAACTGATACTGGTCTGTAGTTATGAATATTGTTTTTGCAACTTGATTTGTGATCTGGGGTAACCTTTGCTGTCTTGGGTTTATCTGGATATATATCCGCAGTAAGTGAAGTGTTGCACAAGTAGAGCATGGGACGGGAAATGGCAGGCATAGTGGATTTGATCATTGGTGCAATCACCTTCAATGTGTTCCTGCAATTATTTGAGTTAGACTTGACGATTTAATTTTTCTGTATAGTATTTGCTGCGGGTAGTTTTCTTCACTAATTATTTCCATTATTTCTTTCATTTTATCAAGGAAATGTTTAAAATCCGCGTGAGGTCGTCTGTAAACTCCCCTCCCCAAGCAATGCTCCATACTTGTAAACTCTGGCCCTAGTTGTGAATCATGGCTATTCCTCACATACAAGGCCATACCCCCAGTTTGACGGGATAAGTTAGTGTAGGCATTGTAATTAGGTACGTTAAAGAGATGTATATCTGCAGTTAATTTGGTTTCACAGAAGGACAAGATATCAAAATTAAAGTTCAGTGGATGTAAGCATTGGTCTATGAATGTATTGAAATGAAGGGGGATGCTGTTGATATTTAGACTTATAACAGATATCACATTTTTAGACAGTCTTAGGATATTTCTAAGGTGGACTCCCATATCTTCTGACCATACACGGACTGAACTACAAGGCAGCAATTGGTCCAACGAAGCTCACATGAGGACACTCGCTACGTACGCGCGCTTGTGATGTGTGTATGTGAATGCACACAGACATGCATGCACGGATTTCATATAATGGAAATATATAGAATTACATATATATATATATATATATATATATATATATATATATATGTGTGTGTGTGTGTGTGTGTGTGTGTGTGTGTGTGTGTGTGTGTGTGTGTGTGTGTGTCTGTGTATAAGAGTGTGTGTGTGAGAGAGATTGTGTGCGTGCGTGTGTGTGTGTGTGCTTGCATCCGTGTGTATGCATGTATGTACATATTTATATAAATATATCTAAATATAAATACACACCCGAGAATTCCAAATTTTGACCAGGGGCTTCATTTCAGCTTTTTCTTTGGGGCGGAGGGGGGGGGTGGCGAACGGGGCAATCAGAATCTTGGGGGGGGGGGCAACTTCCCTCCCAGCCCCCCGAAATGACGCTCCTGTTTTTGACTTACCTTACTTTAATGTGATTAGATTGACTTATTATTGCCGAGCATGTGCAAAAGATACAACGGTCAGAAGAGCAGTTTGACCCACTTTATTTTATTTTTTTATTATATTCTTTCCTGAGATGTCTGCCATAGAAATACAAGGGAAAGATCAATCAAGGTGGTTTCCCGTTTCCAGTTACACAACAACTGTCTACATTATGTTGGGCATGTATTGGTTATAAAATCTGCAGACTCGTTTAATGGAAACAGGATCGCCAGATTCAAATTCGTCATATATAAAAGTAAATATAATTCACGCAATGCAATTTTCAGATCACAAAGTACACATATGCCCTCACAACACATTCTATAAAAAGATTTCCTGTTTATTAAACCACAATGGGTGCTCGTCGCTCGCTTCCTCATTATCTCTCCCCCCTTCCTCTCATTCCACTTCCTCTCGTTCTTCGTCCAGAAGCCAAAGGGGCGTGACGTCGTCCTCTTCTTCCTCTTCCTGACCTTTCTCCTTCATGACCTCTGCGTAAATCGGGTCATCGCCATTGAGGAGCAGGAAGATGGCGAACAAGAGCAGAAAGTGTGATGGAATGGTAAGGCAGGCTGTCCATTCCTAGGATAAATATTTCGAAAAAATAGGATCAGGTTCGGTCACCATCTCCGTCGGCAGATAAGGTTCAAGTTAGTAAGAGTAAGTTATGAATTATTTAAGAGAGATGCATAAGCTAACAAAAATGCAGCGATCAGTTATACGCAAATCTAAATAGAAAAAAAAGTTACTAAGAAGTAAGAATATTTGAAATTCCTCATCCTTCTGAAAGTAAGTAAAAGTGATAGCAAACGATGATTTACCTCGTGACCTGAAGCCCTAGCATGCATTAAGAGGAGAGGAGTTGCCGCTATTGTCCAGAAGAGTGCGAAAAGACCAACCACGTCTGTTGTTTTGTGTTGCTCAGTCCTCGTCCCTTTTTCGGTCTTCGCTGGAACCACAGTAAAGATTTATTAGATGGATTAATATCTTTATTTTTTTCCCTCTCTTCCTCCTTCGCCATTTTTTTCTCTCTCTCTTACTCCCTCCTTCTATCAATATCTCTCTCGATCTGCATCACTTCCGTTCTCGGCCTCCAGCTAATACCCTCTCCCCCTATCTCTTATTTTATATCCACCCGTTCAGCTTTCGTTCTTGCTCCCCTTTTTCCCTACTCCCTCTCCATCTATTCCTTTCTCCCATCTACATCTTTCCCCTTCTCCTTTCCACTCCCAATTTCTACTCTTCTTCATATCTTCTCCTTTACCTCTTTCTCCATTTCTTCTCCTTTTCCTCGCTCTCCATCCCCCTTTTTTGCCGATTTTCTTCATTTCTCCCTCCTTTCACCCACTACCCCTCCCCATCTCCTCCCATCCTCTATTAACTCTCCATCTCTTTCCCTCTTCCCTTTCTTTTTCCCCCCTCCCCCTCTCCTTCTCCTCGCTCTAACTCTCCCCGTTTCCTTCTCTATCTCTCTCGTCCCCTTTCTCCCCCCTCCCTCCCCTTTTCCCCCTTCTCCCCTTCCCTCCCCCTTCTCCCCCTCCCCCCTTTCTCCCCCTCCCTCCTCTTTCTCCCCCTCCCTCCTCTTTTCCCCCTCCCTCCTCTTTCTCCCCCTCCCTCCTCTTTCTCCCCCTCCCTCCTCTTTCTCCCCCTCCCTCCTCTTTCTCCCCCTCCCTCCTCTTTCTCCCCCTCCCTCCTCTTTCTCCCCCTCCCTCCTCTTTCTCCCCCTCCCTCCTCTTTCTCCCCCTCCCTCCTCTTTCTCCCCCTCCCTCCTCTTTCTCCCCCTCCCTCCTCTTTCTCCCCCTCCCT